TATATAAATATAAATTAATTTGCTAGCAATGTTTCAAAATATAATTGATTTCATTACTTGTTTAAAAATCCGTACGGATTTAATTTCTATTTCACTCATTTTTTGTTACCTTGATATATTGTTCTATTATTAATTGAAACTTTCAAGAGATCTTACGCTTGGTTTAATTGATCTCGCTTTTCCTGTTAATAGTGGACCTTTCCAGCAATCTTTTGTGAAGAGCTCAAAGTGGTCGGATTTATTCCAGGTGATTCAAATGGCAATAATATTTATTCTTCTAATTTGGTTTTTTTTTTTTTTTTTTTGTTATTTTTGCGAAATGTATTGGATTTAAGTAAACTTGGTCTCAGCAAAGAAACTTTAATAAATTCAATAGCGTGTTTTTAGGATGTCGCCTTGTTAACGAAAGCATTACATGAACGAGACAATCGAGTTTGTGTCATGCCTCACAATTTTTGGTCCAGTCATAATAGGAATGTTGTTGTCAATTCTGTAAGTTCATTTCTCTTTCCCATTCATTTTTTATTTATTTGCAGTTGATGACGTGGCAGATTCAGATACAATGAATTAAGATTTGAAGAGCGTTGCTATTTTGTCCACTTATGTTTGAAAATATCAGCTTATCACGGTTTTTCGAATGTTAATTTGCCGTAATTGGGAAGTGTGTTTCGCTCCTTATTCGGATTGATTATAAAGCAGTTGGGAAGTATCTGAAGGATTCTGTAACAGAAACCAAAAAATCTCCTCTCTTTCTAGTAATAATCTGGAAATTCATTGATCCTGATAAGTCCTTTATGAAAGGGGAGGTTCACAGGACTTCACACAGGAATTTAGAGGAAATGTTTATATCTTATAGTCAGTAATTTTGAGAAATCTGAATTTCTCTGCGTATTACCAACTCCCTACAAGCCTAAACGAACAGCTTTGTAGAAATGTTCATTATTTTAGTCGATGTGGCAAAATGGGCGTGGTCGTCGGCGCCGCGCAAGGCGTCCATTTGAATTTGTACGTTTTTTGCTTGATAATAGGGATTCGGATGTAAATGAAGACCCTCCAAGTGTCAGTGAGTTGCGTAATTTATCCATCGTCCGCAGTATTCCTTTCGTTATTCCTTTCATCCAACGAACTGAGGTAAGCCCACTTTTTTTTCACGGATTTATCTGATATTTTTAAGCATACTTAAATGATTACACAAACGTGTATTTTTGTTTTTGATTCTGCTTGTAAAATGAGAGTAAATCAAAGAAAATTCCAGGCCTGTCAGCTTTTCATTTGATTATTTTCAGATTTTCACAGAGTTACTTCTAAGAGATCGCATACGGAATGATTCCGGTAGGTACAACGACTATTTTTTGTAATGACAACGAAATTGTAGATTATAAACAAAGATTTATTGTACATCAAGAAAGAAGAAAGTTAATGATTGCTATGTGTTTTTCGCATAAACCCCTCAAATTAAAAAAGTGAATTTTTCAGGCCGAAATGGACATTTTATCGCTGTACACAGAGCAACCTTGTACGAAGATGCTTTCAGAGCATTACAACCTCATAACGGTAATTCTGTAATAATTATTTTTGTTACTTAATGTAGCACTTATGTTTGTCAAGTACTGCCAACAAAAGTACCATGTATGGCAAAAAAAAGACATCGAATTTCGTTGACTGTACAGAAATTTAGTATATACACTTCTTATTTTTAGTTCCCGATATGAAGTCAACAATTCGTGTGCAGATGGTAAACTGGGCTGGACTAGAAGAAGCTGGCGTTGATGGTGGTGGCATTTTCAGGGAATTTCTTTACGAACTTCTTCAGACTGCTCTTGATCCATCTCGTGGTTTTTTTGCTGCAACCCATGAACAGCTTTTATATCCAAACCCTTTGGCACCGTTTCTTTACCCAACTAATTTTGTTGATCACTTCTATTTCATCGGGCGAATTATTGCTAAGGTAAATTGTTAATTAGTCAAGTTTTGCGTACCTGCTTTTTGGAAGATTTGCCCTGAATAATAAGATGATTTTTTTGATTGTTGATGAATCTCTCGACATTGTTCCTACGATTTTGACTTATTCATTGGCTTATTTATTTAACTTATTCACGTTGTCACTGTATTTTGATGGTAAGCATTCAAACAATAATTTGATGAACCTCCATTATTTATTTTAATGCTTTTACTTAAGTTTTACTCTGAAACGATAGAGTGCACAGTTGACTTATCTCAATTCAGTCGTTAGTGCAGTGGTGTGTTTGAAATTGGCCGTCTGCGTTGGAAGATAAGTTAGTTAAATTAGCTTGGATTATACATCAAATATCCTGCAATTTTAATACCTTAATTTATCTGTTTTGCAGTTAGTCTATGAAGGTTTGTTGGCAGACATTCGCTTTGCGGATTTCTTCTTGCTGCAATGGATGGGAAATCCGGGAACAGTTCTGGACTTGGAATTAGTCAAGTCATATGATCCTCTTCTGCACAAAAATTTGAAGTTTTTGAAGCGTTGCTCATTAGAAGAGATCGAAACTCTTGATCTTGATTTCACTGTTATCACTGATAATTTCGGCGTGACAGAGGTAAGAAATGAATTCTTTTGTTAGCATAAAGCTCGTTAAATTACTGGAGCTAAATTATTTCTTTAAATGAACCTTCGCAAATGATGTAACACCATTTTTTGCAGAAGATAGAATTAAAGAAAGATGGTAGTTGTATCAAAGTAACAGCAGATAACAGGATGGAATATATACAGTTATATGTTAATTATTACCTTTCTAAGCGGGTGAGTTCCTTTTGCCATTTTTTTTTTCCATTCGCATGTTAACAATTTATCAGTTGCAATGAAGCATTTGTCTTCATTGCAACTGATAAGTTGTTAAAACGAACTTCGAATGCTTGCTCAAAAACAAGCTAAAATATTCAGTCCTTTTCTAGCTTTCACCGATGATCGCCGCGCTTCGGAGTGGTCTAAGGAACGTTATAGACTTGGAATGGTTGCGAATGTTCTCACCGTTAGAAATTTCGATGTTGGTTGGCGGCAGTGATTCAGAAATTGATTTCAATGAACTAAAGAAATTCACAGCTGTACATAACATAAAATGTAAGATTTAGTAGTCCTGTCACTTATTGCCTCTGCCCCCAATAATTTAATCTTGCTTATTTGTGTATTATAATCGTCGTGAGCATAATTCATTTGAAAATTTTTATTTAAGCTGAAAATGATCAGCAGTACATGGACCTCTTCTGGTCGGTCATCAATGGATTTTCAGCTGGAGATAAAAAGAAGCTGTTAAAATTTATAACTGGTTGTCCGCGACCACCCATAATGGGTTTTAAGGTGATATTTCTCGAAATTTAATTCCAGTATTTTGTCTATTACTGGAATTTCTCTTGTTGATTTACCGCAGTCAAAGATGGAAATTTTTATTGGACAATAAGGTAGAATGAGTATTCGATGTAATAGTTTTTTGTGCAGTGAGGGAGGAGTAGTAGTTAAGGTCAGAGCAGAATCCTTTGGATTTTGTCCTGTTTTCCGTACTTGGAATTAGAGCCCTTTCCGACTGATTCATAAAACAAAAACCATTTTTGTTCTATAAAAGTCTAACTATGTGTTTATCTATCTAGACTTTAACACCGCCAATGGGTATTCAGCTTGTCCACGACGTTGATAAACTACCTACTGCTGCGACATGTATGAATTTGTTGAAGCTGCCACTATACGATGATGTTGAAACATTGCGTCGTAAACTAATCTATGCAGTAAATTGTGGAGCTGGTTTCGAACTTTCATGACATTTTTGTACTTGTTTGAAAATCTTGGTGATATAAATATAGATTACTTGTAATAAATCTAGTTGTAAACATTTGAAATATTATTCAATGAGACCTGTTTTACACTTTGTGCTTAATCCATCTGCTTCCGGGTATTACCTTCTCTTTCATGCTACTTCAACTATATTTGAAACTCCAACTTAGTAATGAAGTCATGCTTAATTTTATTTTTTTTTAAAGAATTTCCTGCTTCCCATGAAATTTTTTTGATTAAATTGATTGTATATTTGTGTGCAGAAGTTGGAGCTTGATGGTCATAGTTCAAATGAGTGATTCGTGCGAGATGCATAATAGATCAGTTACAATAAGAATGACGTAATGAAAGTCTTATAGTCTTAATACAAGAAACAAGAAATCCTTTACAACAAGAAATCCTTTTAGATGTTCGTGCAAATTCTAAATTTAGATTGTTTAAGTGACAAATTTTTAATTCTTTAAAAAGCCATTACTTTTAAAAATTTCCTGTAATTTAGTGTTGTGGTTGTACTCGTCATTTCCACCCCCTCCCCTCCATTCCTCTTTCTATTAATAAGCTACACACGGTTTGTAATCTCCCTATTGTTGCAGGTACGTATAGAATATAAAATTTTTCTCTAAGCGTTAATTTTCATACTGCTTTGATGCGATTTGTCGCTATCAAATGTTTCCTTTGTCTTTTAGATTGAAAATCTTGTAGTTTTTTTTTCTTTTTTTTAAAGAGTATTATTTGCAGGAAGTCTTTTTTGAGGTAAATGTAGGTAATTGCGTATTTTTACATAATGAAGCTTTTGAAAACAATTTCTTCGGAATGAGAGTGAAAATATGAATGAAACACTCAATTAATATCAAGTATAGCGGTGATTTTTTGATTTCGATAAGGTTTTTTTTAAGATTTGCTTCCGAAATTACAGTTTGAGTAAAGTTGCGAATCAGAAGTACAAATTAGTAACCATATATACAGACCTGATTGTTTTTAATGGAAGAGTCATCCGATGGTCTTCATCTCGACAGAGGTATTTATTATCAACGTTTTTTTCTAGAAATATTTTGTTCCAAAAAAAGTATATTTTGCCAGAAATGGTTTAAATGCGAGGCGCTCGTTTTTGTTGGCGTGTTCTAAAGAAAGTAGTGGTAGCAAAGCATCTAGTGGTCCTCCAGCAAGTTTTTTCCTACCCACGAAGCCACAGGAAACGCATGCCCTCCCTCCCTTTGCTACCACCGCCATTTTTCCTTGCCTCGCCGCTCTTCCTTTGCGCGCCCGGGTGCCACAGTCAAGTCGTTTGTTACTACTACTGCGTAGTATTTTGGTCCATTGATCTTTCATTACAGTTCAACACTCAATATTAGCAAACAGTAAATGAAACATTATCCTTTTGTGACATTACCCTCCACGTTTTCAGTGAATCCATTACAATGTTTTATTTACTTTTTTTATGAAGGGATAATATATATGGGTAAATGGATACGGTGTTGGGAGAACTGAGTTAAGTATATTAGCAACTCGAAGACCATTCCAGTTTCTCATATGACCCCCTGGAAAAATTAATTGCCCTCCTCTGTTTCAAAGATTTTGAATAATAGCTAGAAATACTATTAGTCTTTTGATTTACCGAGTTCGATTGTCAAAGATAATGCATAATTGCAGATATTCAAAGGATCATTGAGTTGATCGAACATGTACAAAAAACCGGTGAATTGAATAGTCCGAAGCTTACATCACTGCAAAATATTTTGCAGTCTGATTTCTTCTCATCAGTTCGTGAAGTTTTTGAAACTGTTTACGACACCATCAGTGCTGATAATTCTCGAGAGGTATAGTTCAAAATTAAAAAAAGAAAAAGGAAACAGGAGTGCCGGGTTTTTGTTCATTCTAAAATATACTGATAAAAAGTACGTAAATTATGTTTAAAGTTTTGCTATTTCGTTGGAACAACATTGAGAAAGTAATTGCTTTTCTTTCAAATTTTTTAGGTTAGAACAAGTGCCACAGCTAAAGCAACTGTGGCAGCATTTGCAGCAGCGGAGGGACATGCACATCCGCGAATTGTTGAACTTCCAAAAACAGACCAAGGTCTTGGATTTAATGTTATGGGTGGGAAGGAGCAGAATTCACCTATTTATATATCTCGCATTATACCCGGAGGTGTCGCTGATAGGAATGGACAATTGAAACGTGGTGATCAGTTGATTGCGGTTAGTATGTGTTGTTTGATTTAATTGGATAAAGACAATTCTTAATTTTAATTTCGTTTTCACAAAGATTCTGGTATGATTTCTAAAAGATAAACTATGACTCCGTGAAAACTGAAGCCTTTCATTTCGGAGCACATTTTTACAACATTTTTTCAACTGAAATGAAGCATCCGAATTCTATTACTGTTTTTCGCGAAAGTAGTGTTAAGGTAGAAAACGCCGCACAATGACATATAATCCCGGCAATTTTATATGCTTCTTTGGAAACAATTATATTGTTAAGTGCATTTCCTTTAAATATTATAATTTTAATATGTAAATTTTCCCCTAAATTATTTACGATGCAATAACTTTAGGTGAATGGAATTAATGTTGAATGGGAAAGTCATGAAAAAGCAGTGGACCTGTTGAAGTCGGCACGAGGTACCGTGAAATTGGTTGTACGATATACACCGCGATTACTAGATGAAATGGAGCGACGCTTTGAACGACAGCGACGAAGAGCGAACCAGAACAGTCCTGCACCCATTTTCAAACGATGAACTGAGCTTAAATGTTTTCATTTTCCTTCACTTTCAGAATTTTTTTCCACCTTATCCGTTATGAAATATTTATGGCTCCTAGGAAAACTTTCTGTTTGGCTCATTTTATTAACATTTTGCGGCTGAATCAAACTAATTTTGATTGATGATTTGTTGGGTTTTACTTGTTTTATGAACTGGTTTTAAACTGATAAATCTTGTTAATTCAAACTGATAAGTCTTGTTATGTTAATTCATCGTACTTGTAGACGCACACTGTATTTTGCATACTTCTTTCAAATTTTTATGACTTTTGGTGCAATGTCACGATACTACCAATAGCATCTGTAGCAGTGTCGTTTGCAAATGTTCTTTCTTGCTGCTTATGTTCTTATATTGCTTATTATTTGTATAAAAATAATATGCGGTTGTGTCTTAAATCACCACATATATTCTCGTTATGTATACCTCAGTTTCTCTTTCGAATTATTTACAGAGGTCATCTTTTCATAGAAAATCAATTTTTTAATTCGACTTCAATATATGTTCACTGATCCAAGTTGATTTAGTTACTATTCTTATTTTATGGTGAGTGGTTTTTTCTGTTTTCGAAAGTATTGTAAAAATTCCTAAATGTTGAACACATGAACAACTTTCGTTTCAGCTAAATTTGGTCATTTCAAAACTATTTCGAGGAAATAGGCTTCATCTTTAGCCATAAATTTTTAGGATGACAAAAAATAATGTCACAAAACGCCACTCAAATTCGTAAACAGCTTATAAATTTGGAAAGAGAAGAGAGAGCTTTGCAACGGCTTCATGTCCATTTTACAGGTTTCCTTTTTATCGTATGTTTTTTATTTGCTTTCTACAATGTTACATTCCTACCCTTTACTTGAAAAGGAGAGGGCGTGACAGGAGTCTAGTATTCCTGTATTTGTTATCTTTCCATTTACCGATTTGTTTTGGCAGCTAATATAGATTTTCTCTGCAGCTGATATTTGGACTGTAGAAATTTTCTGATGTTAGATAATTTAGACTATATTTTGCTACTTATTTGTTTAGTATAGGTAATGCTAAAGCTTATCAGGTTGGTTGAAAAGCACAGCATCATTGGTTTTTCTGCTAGTCCATTGTGACATCATGTTAAATGGGCAATTTCAGGATTACTACGAGCTGTAGAGTTAGAATCGATGCGGTTAAATGCATTGAAGAGTATCCTCCAGTCTTCACAACATACATCAAATACGAATACTTCTTCAGTACCAAATTTCAGTTCGATTAAAACTTTGAATTCTTAAATCGGTGCTCTCTGTTTCTTCATTTTCCAAGTGTTAGATCTGAAATTTTAAAAACCTGTTTTGATATCTAATACGCAGTGCCCTGGGTTTTGAATTTTATAAATACAAATTTTCTTTTTTGCTGAGATTTAAATTATGAAATTATTGTGAAGTTGGTAAAATGATGTGGAAATAAACATTGCACTTTAGAACTTATTTGTTTGGCACGAACTTCGTCTTCTCAACTGCGGCTTGACTTTCCAGCTGTTTCTTTTGTTTTGGTTATCGCTTTTTTGTCTGAGGGCGAAAAATATAAACTCACTTTACTGATGATGTTCTACGCTAATATTTGGAGAAGTATTGGCACAGAACTTTTGTCGAACTTCAGTGTTAGAGATGATTATTTTAGTGGAATTTACATGTCGGTGAAGAAAGCAAATTCTTCCGAATTTCATTTTGCATTTTCCAGACATGGAAAATGATGAATAGATCAAAGATTGCGATCAAAAATTGGCGTTTGCTGTTTGCAATTCAAAAGGGTTACGCGAAGGATGGTGCTTCTGGTGATTTAAAAATCACTGAAAATTGTGTTAATCGGCTGCGAGAAGTTGCTAGCATCGGGGAACACTTGAGGATAATGGTTGATGGTGGTGGCTGCTCCGGTTTTGAATATAAAATGAGTATAGACAACAAAATCAATGACAATGATCTTGTCTTCTGCAAAGATCATATTAAGATTGTTGTCGACGAGGTTTATGTTTATCTTGCTTGAAAGATTTGCAAGATGTTTGAAGGAAGGTAAAGAGAAATTGACACTCAATTTCTGTTTTGTCGAAAGCGAATTGAGTCTCTATATTATAAATTGTTTACCTCTAGTACAGTCAACATAACGGAATTTTTCCATTGTTGCGTGAAAAGCCTAAAACTAGATTGGAGAAGTCAGGATACACAGTGAAATTTGATGAAACGAAGTTTGGATAGAAAGTCTTCATTTGAGCTAAGCTGAATTATTTCTATAGATATTTTCATTCCCATAAATAAGAATTTGCTTCATTTATTCACGTCGAGTAAATAATAGATTAATGTGGGATAGAGAAAAAATACTGGGTATTTCAATGCAATAATTCTACGTTACTTATAACGTAAGACATTTCAGAGATCGCTACAGTTTTTGAAGGGTGCAACGGTGGATTATTTCGAAGACTTGATGCGATCATCATTTCGTATCGTCGATAATCCAGTTGCCGAGAAGGGCTGTTCATGCGGGTCATCCTTTGCTATCAAGATGGATTAGTTTTTTCACTGTGAATAGAAGCTTCACTGTTTTATTGTGTATTTCTCTCTAAATGTTTTATTCTAAATAAATAGCTGTCGTGCATGTCTTCATCTTTGATGAGTTTTTTTCTTTACTGATAGTATGAAAACAATGTTCATTCAACAGCACTATTTCTCAGGTGGTGAATTTACCGGCTTTTTTTTGAATGAAATGTCGTAGTGGAGAAGCTATTTGAACCCTCTTTGATCTCCCTTCGATTTTGATAACTGCTTGGAAAAGCAGTAAAAGTTTCTCTATTTATAAATGATAAAATAAAGTATTTGATACAGCCTTTACTGGCTTATTTCTTGAAAATCAAAAACTGATATTTTACCACAAAGTTCTGATTTCCTTGGAAGGATATTGTGGGAGAACGGTTAGGAAGAAGTCGCAGTTGTTGAGGGCGATGGATCCTCTACTCATCATTTGAACCTTCGGCTAAATCTTTAAGAACTGTGTTATTATGTGGCACTTCTTTCATAGTGATGATTTACAACGTGAGAAGCTTTTGATCTTCAGGATATTTGATTGCTAAAGATGCAAGGAAGATTAATAAACTGGTACTCGTTCGTATTTCGTAAGCAACAATGGCTGACAGCATTGACAATGTTTCCAAGAAATTCAAGAAACAGTGGCCGAACAGGCGGTTACAGAAAGGGTTATTGGGATCAGAAACACTGGCGATGGTTTGCTCGAGCTGCTGGTGCTCCCTTACTTGGCTTTTCATTAATGACAACATTCAAGGATTTAGCTGGAATACCACCATTTGAACTTGATAAGGATCCACTGAAACATAAAATCAAGAAAGTAAGAATTCAGGGACTGATAAATTTGTATTGTTGTTATGAAAGTTTTAGTAAACATTTCGAATATTTTCAAATAACAGAGGGAACTTCCGTGGGAAGGCACCGCTGATCTCATTTTTTGAATGTTGCCTGTAGTTACATATACTTTTTTTGGAAACAAAAAGACGGTCAGTGGAAGATTTTTCTCAACTTTTACAATATCTTTTTATTGCATGAAGTTTATAAAAAATGTATAATGAGCTCTATAATGAGTCCATTTAAAGGCATGGTTATATAGAAAACAGCACAATTATGACCAAGCAGTGATGATCCTGGAGGAGGCAATGCAAATGGCCAGTGGACAAAACAATGAGTTAATTGCTAGTCGAATTATCGACGAATTAGCCAATACTTATTATGAAATGGGAAAATTGGATGATGCAGAGCAGGCTTTCCGCGGCCTTTTGCAACGGTTTCTCGGTTTTTGTTGACTTTTTTGATTTTAATTTTTCTTTCCATTGATATACGTCACACACGATTTTCCAATATCGTTTGTCCATGGAGCTGTCTTGTCTGTTTCGAATGTTATTTTCACTTCATTGTGGTGAATTACATTGACTCTGAGTTTTGCATGTCTCAACGCAATTATTTCTTATTTTCGGAGTCTCGATGTAAATTTCAATCTGTCTACTACAGTTGCTAAAAGTAAGGTATTTTTGAAAATATTAAATAAATTTTACTTTTGATGTCAGTGATTTAGGTTAATAATTTTACACAAGAAACAAGATTACGATCCTGAATTTATCGATGTGAGCCTCAAATTATCCGATATATTTGCTCAGAAAGGCAAACTAGATGATGCCGAAATTGGTTACAAGCATTGCGCTGCCAGACAAATGAAAGTATGTCATGAATAAATCTGTGATCTCCTGTGTAACTTTCGCTTCAGATAACCTATAGAAACTCGCTCTATATCCAGACTTCCACATTTCATTTACTTGTATATGTATATATACATAGGTAGATAGGTAAATGGAGATAGATAGATAAATATAGGTACAGATATAATAAGCGCAAATGGAACTTTTATTGAAGGTAGTCGAGAAGCATATGGCGAAGTATTCAATAAACTATGGTGGTTCGTATGATATTCCACAAGTCATTAATCACTATGGAACTGTATTCACAGACCCTCTTGCTCTTTATGGCCTGTGTCTCGAACAATACGCCCACTTCATTGTAAGTTTAATTCATCATACTTATTAGCCGTGAAATTATTACTTTAAAAATAAGTCAAACATTGCAGGTCCGATACAGAGAAGAAAAGAGACTGGATGATACTGTACAACTCATGGATGAAGCTTTGAAGGTAGTTTCTCTAAAAAATTTCATTTCACTCTGGAACACTGCCTAATTTCAGAGTACCACTACGAACATATTCTTTCAGGAGATACGGATATAATTTTCTCATGCATTTTACATATATTTATTTATATGTTTCAGATCTCACACCAAATTTATGGCATCAATTGCTTCCACGCCATGAATATGCTCAATAATTATGGTGCTTTATTGATTGCCAGGAACAGGTAGATCTCATCCTACGGACTGATTAATTAGTGTTACTTCTTGGTGTAAAAAAGTAAACCAATCTCAGCAACATTCACGATAGAAATACTTTTCTCCGGAAAAATCACAACTGCTGCGCTTCCTATACAGCTGACCTGAGAACATTCATTTTGTCTAACTTCCGAACATAGAGGATGGGATTTTAGAAGGGAATTATTCAAGTAGTGGCCCAAATGAAGCGAATTTTTACAAATTTTACAAATTTAAATTTTAAATTCAAATTTTACAATTAACAAGGTTTTCGTAATTCGCTAAAGCCTATCAGGTTTGATCTTGCAAAAAAGTATTTGGAAATTGGTATAGATAGGATATTATATATCGATGAATGCAACAGTCTACTACCTGGATACTATTGTAACTATTCAGAAGCGCTTTATCATTGCGGTCAGAGGTGAGATACTTCAGAGTATATCGAATAAAATAAAACTAAAGGAAACCTTTCATGTCACTAATTGATTGTTTACCAAATTAAAAAATCTCCATAACGAACCATCAATAATTTAATCACTTAATGTATGAAATTAAATAGCTGACACCTTGCATTACAAGTCTTAGGAGCCATTTATCCGACATCTAATGGTCTACAGCAGATAACGTACTACTGGATACTGAAAAGTTTTGATGATTTTGGCTAACGTATTAAATTTCAGATTGGAAGCACTGCGGTATGCAAAAAAAGCTGTCCATTTATCACAATCAGAATCAAAAGAATTGAAGGATTATACAATGAAGTTTCTTCAAGACATGGAGAAAGATTATAATCGCCATCGATGACGTCTGCAAGGACCATTTTTGTTTCATGCTGATCATTTCATCTTGTGAAACTACATTTTAGTATTTTTAGCATATTTGGGAAAATTTTTTAAGAATAATGAGGGTTTAAAGTTCTGGATTCATTTTTTTCTGAAGAACCTTTTGGTCAGTTTAGATATTTCCGGACGCACATAAGATTTTAAATCCACTGAGTTATTGCTCTTTATTAACAAATACTTTTAAGCTTTCCAGCTTTAGGAGTTCAGGTTTTCGAGAGAGCTACAAAGGCATGAAAGTTCTGACATGAAGCGTTTTAGATCATTCAAATGTGAAACCAATGAATAAAAGCTCAAGCAGAGAAAGATCTCTGCCAAACGCCTAACATCTGAACTAAATTTATTCAGCCAGAGAATGAAGATAAGTCAATTCTCACGAAGAGTTGTGTATTACGACAATGCATATGCAAGTACTAACTTCAAATTGGTTGATCCAAAGAGAAATAAAATGTTTTTGAGATATCGTCAAATTTCATTCAATAGCCTGAATGATTGTGACATATCCAG